TAAATCCTTCGATAACTTCCTTCAGACAGTGGGTTGTGATTCTTATCTTTTGAGTAAATGAGTGTCTGGAATGTCCTTTTACAAGGTGCAGGCGTTTCCCATAGCAACCTCACTCCAATGGGGTCCTGCCCTTTGCACGCATAGGAAAAACCAAAACCACTCGTGTCTAAAAACACTCACCAAAGTCTGCACTTTGTTCCATTGTGGTCTAGTCCAATCTAACCGCTTTCGCAGTAACTCGCGACTTTGAGTTAAGCGGTTTGCATGTAAAGTGAAATGCAAATACCTCACATTTGCGCAATGCCTCGCTATAAATACTTAACTTAAGAACACTTGACTTGAGAAGGCTCATCTAGACTTCTGAATGAAATACTAAATGAACACTCTGGCAATGCGTAAAACGTGTTTTAACGTGTTTTAACTGCGGGCGAAATAAACGCCCGCTCTCCCCCTTTTTCCGTTTTCGTGAGCTCAATTATGCTGTGGTTACGCTTGATTATACTAGAAAATATTCAAGATGAAACTACAAACAGAAGGGACCTAGCGGAGTGAAAAAAGGTGGAAGCTGGGGGCCATATTAAAAAAATAACCATGGTAACTAAGTAAAAATAATATTTGGTTTGGAGGGGGAGAGGGCTGGGTGGGGCAAACCACTCCCTTGGATCACATCATAGAGTAAACCGATGTTTGGTGGCAGATTTGCGCTAGATAAAGACGGGCAGGGACAGAAGAAATCTCGCTAATTCATTGACGCGTGTCACAGATTAGCTATGAACTGTAATGATTCGATATTTAGCGCCATCCTTCAAATGAGCACTCGCTCTAGAGAAAGCACATGGATAATAAAGCCATTAAACCCATTGGAGACATTTTAACATAGAAAAGACTGATTAGATTAGACGAATAAATTCTGAAGTCCGCATGCCTTTTCGCCGGTCTAAACGTAACATTAAACATTATGACCATCAGAGGCCCTATTGTTTTAAAACAGTCGTGGACTAAAGCTACTGTTGCTTTTCATTTTAGTATTGAATCACATTCAAATGTATACGATCTACAATAATTATGTGACCCGTCTTCATCACGTACATCTCCCCCCCCCACTCTAATATAGAGCAACCAAAAGCACGGACGTTGCAATTCATGGTAGACAAGAGAATATGATTTTGTGGTAGATGATAATGGATTTAGTTGCGTTGGAGACATAAGCCATAGTAATTCTCAGCGGAATGGGTAGTCTCACCCACGGATCCACCGACATCCGCGGGCAACTTAAACAACTTTTACGCGCCTTGGAAAAATTCAAGAATTAACATCGATTGCGCGTGATGATTGAACAAGCGGAAACTAGGAAGCCGCTTGGCATAATAACATGACCATTATGAATCCACAGGAATATCGAGAAACCACGTTAAAAATGTGCCCAAGATAAATGTCTCACCGCATTCATTGCAGGAAATACTTGACCTTCTGAGAAGCCACAATTCATTAACAGGTCGATTGAGAGGGCGGAAGCGCGCGGATCTGGTGCGGGTTAGCCGAATAAAGACCTTGCTATGGCGGTAACCGTGTTAAGCTTTAGTCCATTAGTACGATCTTCAGGGTATCTCCTGGAATAAATCACGTGAGCCGATTTGCAATTGTTTTCCAGCCTTTTTCTTAGCTGTTAAATATTCAAAAAGCATATGACCGAAAAAAAGTTCTTTTACGTGCCTCAGTTGAGATGCGATGAATTGAAGACGACGAAAAAATTTGGAGAATACGCGTATACGAGTGTACACTGTATAGGAATACAAATATCTGGTAAAATAAAGAGTCTGTTTCGCAAATTATACCCTAGCCACATCCTGTCAATTAAAAGCTAATCTAAGCCAGAAACTACTGGAAAACAGAAATTTATTACTACAGAAAAACTTGGGATAGAGCTGAAGCGGTTCATAGACATGCGGTTTATCTCTCCGCTAGTGTAGAATGAAACTTACAGTTAATATCACGAAGCGTTCCACTTGGGAGAAATTGAGTTGGAAGAAATTCCATTTTAGAGACAAAATAAGCGAACGTGTCAGCTTAAGTTGAGGAATTTTGAGGAAAGGAAAGTAACACATACTCTTGTTTCATGGAAGTAAGTTCGTGTCCAGATATTTTCAGGGGTCACAATTTCCCGCCAAGTTTTATTTACGGGTTGATTAGAGCTGTGGACACGGTAACTGAATAGCTTGACATTTTGTCTACATTTTCGGTTCTTTTCAGGGCATCTACCTTAAAACCATAACAATGATTATATTTGACAAAAAGAAAACGGTAAACATGTGATTTAGGAAAAGTTCGATGTCAATTTTATCTCCTTTTAAAAGACAACAGTTAATTAAGAGATTCACATTTCGGTAATTTTACAGACAATCGCCTTCTTTTGCCATGCGAAAACAGGTTTAAAATTATCACCTTAGATGTCCTTAAAAAGCGTTACCCGCGCTGTCAGACAATAAAATTCCTCTGTGTAACACCGGATATAAGCAATGAGTTGTTTTCGTCATAACAGCAATAAGATATTTTCAAGGCTTTGTTTTAATTCCAAGTTGGTAACAAGACGGATACCCCAAAATATTTGCGCTTCGTAACCAAAAAACCGCATCCGGTTTAGAAAAGGGATATAGTATCGGCGCTCACACCTTTTCCCACATATTTTAACGCTTGGCTTAAAGCTCTTATCACGTGGTTCCGCATTTTTAAATTCCTGTGCGTGCTTCGCATGTAAATGATTTAATTGAAGAAACAGGAAATCCTTTCAGCGTTTCCATAGAAAACAAGTAGATAGAGAGGAGGTTAGGAACAACAAGAAATGCTGTGCAAAAGAACGCCTTCACAGGTATTTGTTCTTCTAAAGTTCCATAAGTGTTTTTCTAAACAATAAAGTTGCATTAACTATTTGCATATGTAAATAAAAGCTTCAAAAATGTTGGTTTCCATAAGAACTGCCTTAAGTGCATTTAAACCAATTATAGAACGCTTAGGGGGTTCAATTTACGGTTGTAGGTCTTTCCAGTTTCTAAGATCTTGATATTTTTGATGATGTCTAGCATAACGAAAGTATTACAACGGAGTATAAAGAGTTAGATTTATTAATGGTTTCTAATTCAACAAGGTGAACCCTGCTTCGTAATTTTCTCCTCTTTTCACAGTACTTCACCTGTCTCGAAACACTAGAACAGACTTCCATGAACTAAGAAAGAACAATTTCCTGTTAGTATAAATCACTTAATTATAGGTATTTATTTTCCCTTGACAAATTGTTGCTTTTCAACTGACTTTATTAACTTTGTTGAGGAATTTAAAATCTGGGGATTTGGACTATATTTTTTATTCCTATATATTGCTCCAGATTAGCACCGTGAATATCAATGTTAAGGCCTTGAAATCAGAACCTAGTCACATCTCCAACACATTAGAGCGTTTTCAAAAGTCATGGTAAGCTGTTTTAGGCTTTTAACTACTCAATGAATTGTATTGTTTTGAAAGCGGGTGGCGACTGCAGTGGTTTAAAAGGAGCGCGTGCTACGCACGAGGAACCCGTATAGTATGAACAACAAGATTTCTTAACACGATTTTCAGGTTTTGAAATCCGGAACCAAGCGTTGATACAGCTTGAATTTAGCAAACATATGCTTTAACAGGCTGTTTATAAACTGTCTGAGTCGTTTTCCTAATCACCAAGTTAAACTTGTCTAAGTAAATATCACTTCAGTCAATCTTATTGTACTAATACCATAACCAAGGTTTAACAAAGGAAAGCTCTTTGCCCGACGAAGCATGAAAAGAATTTCAAAGAAAAGACTTCACCTGTCTGAACTATTTGCTATGTTTTATCAGGGTGGTTGCTAGTTTTAGAAAATGTTCTGGTATCTCGGTGTGACTTTGTTTGCTTAACAGATTACTAAATAAATGTTTTCATCGGTAAACTCGAAAACGGGCATTATTTTCCGCGCGCGCAAATGATATATTGAAAAGTTCATTCTGCGAGCAAACACGCGGCCTGCTACTATTGCGCGTGGTGTGTGTGCGTAAAGCGTGAGCATGCGGTAAAATGAGTGATTTTAGACCCAAAAGCATGCCAACTGAAACGCGTGCTCTTGCACTTCGTGTCACGTGGTATGGTCCTGGCTTGAGCGTAGGGCTTGGTTCAAATTACAATTAAATTAACGTGGGATTACGGTTGACTTTAACCTTGGTTTTTTTAACCTTAGTTTTCAAACATCCTTTCCATTATTTTTTTGTCATTAAAATTGGCATTCAATCTCGACTATAACTAGTCTGGTCGCTAAGAAACAGCTCTTTTGTCGGATACTTTTCGAAATCGCCAGCTTATTGTCTGATACTGAGCCGAACGAGCCCGTAAGCCGAGCTGACTAAAATCTAGGCACCAACCTGCCGAGTACGCGCTCCGCCCGTCTAGGAAGAACGGAGACTGGACTCGACAGGGCTGCTAAAATGAAGTATAACTAAAATCAGGCGATGTTCCCAAAGATTGAGCAGCATTATTCGACAAATTATGACATAATCGTATCTTATACTGAGCTTGGATAAACTGTTCGCTCGGGGCACCCTAGGACTGGTGCCCGCTGCTGAATGAGTCTTCTTGTGTGCACCTCTAAGTAGAGAGCGCGTTGGATGTGAGATGAAAAACAACCAGTTGGCTATAATCATCTCAGATCCAACGAGTGCGAGTGGGGTAATTGTTTCATAAAAAACGCCCCCAAAAATACGCGTTAACTTGCCACATTTGTATAATTGCTCATTTACCATGATGGCTAAGCCAATGAAACCTCTCGAATTGCATTATCCAATGATCCAGTGTTTAATAATTGTTTTTATCGAAAACTGGACGAGGACAGCTCTGAAGAATTATAATTGAGGTAACGATAATATGAGATTACCCTTTGGAATCAGAGTTTCGAAGCTACCATCCACCCTGCCAATTGAATTAAATGAAGACATAACAGAAGTCAGGCTACACGTAGGCACTTTAATGGATTTGACGCCATTCTTACACTAGTATGGCTTCTGACAACACGTTCCAGTGCAACATGTCGACTACAACACCACTCAAGAGACAAAATTGACTTTCACAATATGCAGTGTTGGAACAGTTCGTGTTACACTGCGCACAATGCAGACAGCTTACAAGCCCTTTTATTGTTATAGCGAGTTTATAATAGTTATTTAGTGTGGCGTGGGAGGGGCATGGAACGAGCGAGACTCCGTTCACTTACCGAAAACCAAGTGTCCTAGGTATTCCATGACACACAAATCAGTTCTTTGACAAATACACCAATGGTTTTCTAATATCAGTATTGCAATATTATCACGTCACTATGTATCTTGCTACTTCATCTCAATCTCAGTGAAAAAGTGTGAACAAAATCAGTGAATCCTTTGCTACATAAAGTCGTTAACATCACGGATTAAAACTTTGTAAGAATATCGTCTTACAGGTGCAAAATTTTGCTTTTCACTACCTCGACAAAACACAAAGTCCTGCAACTAATGGAAAGCTGCCCATGAAGGCATCACACGGGAACTTAAAACATTTTCTTGACAATGAGAACGTTATAGGACCTTAATCAATTGAGGCATCGAGGCATGGAAAGGACAGACGAAGTAGCAATGTCAAATTAAGTTGAGACTATCTTCTACCGATCCTAAATTTTGTTATGTTTCAGTAAGAGCTAACAGTCCTGTAAACTTCTAATAATAGTCAACAAATCTAATCATCTTTGGACCTCTACACAAGAGCTAGACCCTTGCTACTGGCCTACAACGAAATGAAAAAGGGAACTTATCCTTCTCTTACGTCCTTGAAATACAACCTTTTGAGGTAAATCTAGAAAGGCCGAGTTTGGTAAACATGTAGCTTCTTAATGAAGACTTTGAAGAGCACAAAATAATTATCGACTCTTTAACTACCTTTGATCTGGTTACTGTCAATTTCCAGGGAGACCCAAGCAGAGGGCGGAGATTAAACAGACTTGTACTGATATGCAACATTGAAGACTAGAGTTAGACGAATTGTTCACGACCCCATTCCCCCACAACCCAAAAGCTATGCCTGAGGGGGAGGGCATGAAATATGGTTTACAGTACAGGGGTCTGGCTTGCTCGACTTCATTATTTCATTGGGCGCCAAGCAATCGAAAAATAGTTCGAAATAAAAACAGATCGACGTACAACGACCACTAGAGGTCTGGGTTGCTTTCAATAAAGCATGAAAGGCAGCGCGGGAAAAAAAATCGTTAGCCACTTTAACAAAGTTGACTCTCGCGTGAGTGCCATTTTTAAAGGTTACTCTCTAACACCTTTTAAACAGAAGTGGAAACCAACAGGTAACCTGTGGTAGTTGCTCTATCTAGACTGCTTCCAGCTTGGTTGGTTGTGCTGGGTCACACGTCGTTTATCAGCCCTAGAGTATAGGTTGGTATGGTTAGGTACACAACCCACTATATCTTTAGCACGTCCAGAACATCTGGATTTCCACGTCGCCTCACGTAACTGGTTTGGACTGGTTGGAGAATCGGGCGCAGAAGACGCGAAGTGATTCCACATTAACCCCACAGCTCCGCGCAAGTTCCAGCCCCTCTGGAGTGGCCTGGGTACCACTGGAAGTCACGCCCTTTCTCTGGCCTCGTTTTGGACTCTCGCACGAAGCACTTCCAGTTAGCAAAGTGACCAGGCCTTTGCCAGTTTGACTCACGAAATACCGACAGCAGTTGACAATCTGATTAAATCGCCTGCACAAAATTAAAATTTCAAAGTCAGGGTCTGCTAATGTTGTAGTCACGTTGGACGTGCATGTAATTATTCTAAGGAGTGCTGATTGTATATAGTTTTGTCTGATTGAAAGATAAACTCCAAACTTCGTAAACATTTCTTGGGTGCTTATTATTTAGCTAAAAAAAACGAAATTTCGGTTGAAAGTCAAATGGTTAGGAAAATTGAGTTAAACGGTTAGGGAAATTGTTGACTGCATCAAGAGGTCTTCCTCTTTGTCTATTCGGAATGAACGCCGAAATTTTCCTTACTATTTACTCGTTTCTCCAGTATTTTAAAAAATCTCTCATCAAGAATAAACAGTAGGTGGAAACTGAATTAAAAATAACAAGCGCCTTCTCTTTCGGTTGCTTTGCTGTTTTCAGAGAAACCCGTTCCCACCGGGAAATAGCAAACAGCCCTTTTGTCTTTCCCACGTTGCGTTTTTAACAGTTGCCTTTATGGTCTTGTAAAAGCAAAAGATTTATTCTGCTTACCATACAGCTACGTCCTCATATCGTCCGTGCCGCCTCCCTCCATCGAGCGTCTCGTGGTCTTTTTGAGCTCTGATCCATCTTGAAAACAAGGGAAGACCACATGAGATTGTCAAAAACTAAACACCGAACCCTACCG